ACACGTTAATCGTGTAGCGTGGTCAGTAATGGCCTATACGCCAATAATAATAATAATAATAATAATATAAATATATAACCATTTTAAAGTGGCGGTGCCAACCACCATAACTTGGAACCATCCTCGGAAGTATTGCTATCACATAATTTGATTTTTTTGTTTTGTTTTTGACCTTTTTAATGCCTGATGATGAAAAAATATTCCTTGAAACTATAGCAAGACCTATTAATTATACATATTTGAAAACTAGAAGATGCAATTTTTTTGTGAACATGAATAACCTCCCACAGTTTACAACTTGGTTTATTCAAAATTTATTGGCACAAATGTGTATATTGTATATTATACAGACACTTTGACTAAGAAAATTCTGGTGGAACAATCGGAACAAATGAGGTACATACGATTTAGGATGGTTCCAAGTTTGTATATAGTGAAGAGTGTCAGCGTGAAGTTGTCACCGCCACTTTAAAATGGGCGTATTTTAATTATTATTTTTGGTTACAAACGAAAACTCTGGTGGAACAATCAAGAACCAACGAGGTACAAATGATTTAGAATGGATCTAAATGTGTTTATGGTGTTAGCAGTGCCAGTGTGAAGTTGGCACCACCGTAATTAAAAGTGCTGTACTTGTAGCTTGTATGTGGATTTGGTACAAATGGATGCTCAAGGATCAAACTATTTTTCGCTGGGGTGGGGTAGTAGTGCAAACGGTCTATGGTCATGGAAACATGAGTTCCACTCGAAACGTCACAGCTCAGTTAGCAGTGCTGCTCACCTTTTCCTTTAACAATGCCTACTTCCTGGTTTTCGCTCTCTCCTACGATGTATGTATATATTTATAGTGTATATTACAGAGTAATTTTTATACGTTTCTGATATTCCTTTAATTTAACGATTTAAATTTATTAAATCTATTTTATTAAAAAAATTAAAACTATTTTTACTGGTTTGACATGACTCCTGGACTTTGAATTTGGATAACTCTTTAACTGTCGATTTAATTTACATTTCTAAATTAAGCAGTTCCCGGGCCACTCGAGAGGCACCTCGAACACCACCTCTACGTCATTAAATTCTCATTTCATAGCTGTGACAGAGAAATTATTGTTGAAGTGGTTGAATCTTGTGACTGTGAGAAAGTAACATTATCTTCGTGCCACTAGACCAGACTTTAAAGAGAGCAGCTCTTTACACAGGCGTTAAGATCACCTTTGTTAAAAGAATTGGACTGGTGAGATTAAAAAGAAATATATTCCACTCAGACAGTGGCGACTCGTGCCTATTCGCACGTTCGCATGAGCACACCCAATTCAGTGCATTTTCTCATAAATATCTCTAAACAAGAGGGGAATACAAGTCCTCTTATTTCCGAAACATGGAATTTCATAACACGCGCCGTTCGGAAGCAGCGATTGATAGTCCGACGCCAGTGCCCTTCATGGAAGATAGCTCGGGAATTGCAAACGAGTAGAGCGCGTCGTTGGCTGCCGCGGGGCTGGTAGGGAGAGAGGGAACAATAGTGGCTTTATGGATGAAATGAACATTCGGCCAAGTGTGGGATCGTTACTGCGTCTGCCTTGACAGGTCTCGAAGATATAACACTCATCTACCACAAGTTTGTAGGTGTTTGTGCTTGTGACCTTGAACTAAGTGTGAGATACCTCTCCACTGAAAAGAGCTCTCATCCCTTCCAATTAAACAGTTTTTCGCTAGCGCGCGAAACGTGAACGCATTGCTGTGCAGTAATGCATTTATAATAATTGTGTTAATTTAATATTACAACATTCTCTTATATTTTGAAGCGAGTTGCAATTACAAATATATTTCGAATTAATGAAAACCCAAATGCATTTTGTAAACGAACGTAGTTGGCTACTTTTTTAATGCGTTTTGAAAAATCGAAGTTCGTTTTTCTGTAAAGTGTGACGTAAAATTTGCTGAAAAGAAACAGGGTTGAATTGACTTTTGTTTCGTCACACAGTGTAGATGGCAAATTATTTAGATTGTTTTGAGTATTCGGTACCTTGTACTTTTAGCCTAAAATTTGTAGAGCGAGCTTATGGAAAATACTTTATAGCGTAGCGAAATTTGCGTGGACAGGCGGAAGATCATGCCTCATGGCCTGAGTCTCGCCACGTGAAATAAGGCATGAATTCAATTTAGTTAAAAAGTGCGAGTAAAAAAGTTTTAAATCGACGTGTACAATAGAATTATTCACACCCCTGGAAAAACTGCTCTGGCATTTGCTTGGTGTTGATTGGAGAGACCACGGAAAACTATCGATCAGAGCAGCCGGCCGCTAGAATTCTCCTCCACACAGAAACTAAATTCGACCTACCTAACAAGCTAGTATATTTATTGACCTTTAAAATGATTTTAAGTAACTACTGTTATAAGTTTTATATTTTTTCTTTCAAAAAGTCAGCTAAAACCTTTGAAAGCCCCCTAACCGCCCTGGGACAATAAGGTGGCAGCAGACATTGAAAAAAGCACAATCCTGCAAACAAGTAGTGGATGCAAAGCACTCAAACATTCATGATAAAGTTTTAATTCGTTTTTCCATTACATTTGAGCTTATGCTGTGGCCTGTTATTGCTCATGACAGAAGTGTTCTACTCAAACATAATTAAAGGCTTTCTATAACAAACTCAACGATGATTCTCTATGCCCACAACAGAATTCAAAAACTCCAACCTTCGGATGCACACTAGCCACCTCAACCACTTAAGCCTGCTGCATTACTGTATATTTCTGAAATTAATTATTGATGTTTTCAGGAATTACTGCAATGAATATATGGAAATGCAGTATATAACAGTAAATAATATTTATTTCCAAAGAAAATGTGTGTCTTGGACAAGTACAAAAGCTCAACAGAAGAGTACACAACAGCATACATTGAAATTAACTATACATAATATTTTTAATTAACATCTGAAATGACTAGAAACTATCAGCTGATATCACAATTACAAGGCTTAGAAATGCCTTCAACAAAGTGTTTACTGTTGGGTGTTTTTTTAGGACAAGTATATTGTTTTTATTTACATATTATCTGAACATTTGCTACACAGAAGTAGAATTACAGCCTCAAAATCACAGGGCTAAACAATATGTACATAAGTGTGGATGTAAGGCATGTCAGTATCTACTGTTTGTTTTAAAATGAATTTGACTCACAAGGTGCAGCTGTATCTAACAAAGAAAGTGATGCTCCTCTGTCATAATTCAGTCTACTGTTTGATGGTGTTAACATTGGAATGGACAAGAGATATCACACATGCTGGAATTGTGAAAGTGATGTTTTAAGGTGGGCAATAATTTCACAATGGCTTAGTGCCTACTTGTAAATGCCATAATGGGAATGTGGTCTGAAAAAACATAATTCCAACTGATGTGCATATAATAATGCCTTATGTTTACTACTCCATGCAAAAATAGTGTAAATTTAAAGGCAATTTCTTCATTTTTCACAGCTCATCACAGTTCTTCTGCTCCATTGTTCACTGTAGATGATGGTACTTGATCAATAAGAAGATCTGCATTTCTTATGATTCGGTAAAAGAAATTTACTGATTGATGGTAGTTTTCAACAGAAATTCGTTCATTGTTACCATGATACCTTCCAATGTCAGTTGGAGTTACTATAGTTGGCAGGAACCTATATAAATCTCTAGTGAATCCCAAATACCATCGAGTATCTGTGTTAGCGATAAATACACCTGCAACAAAATGTAAACCTAAATAAGAAATTTTTGGGAAAATCATCTTTATGAATTTGTGGAAAATAGTAACAATTTCACTAAAATTGCATTAAAAGTACACATATTTCAAAACATATTACAATAAGGAAAATTTTTTGAATTGAATTTGCCTTATTTTACATGGCGAGACTCGGGCCATCAGGCCCGCTCTTCCGTCTGACCACGCAAATTTCGCTACGCTCCTTTCACCAACTAGGAGAGAAAGGAGGTATTTCTTGGGCGTGAAACAGGCGATTTGAATTTAGCTTAGAGGCGTCATTGAGGCTTGAGGATCTTTTACATGCAAGTAAATCTACGAACATGGGACAGCCGGCTTTACTTCCCCTCCGAAGGAAGGCGTACGAAGGATTTATTCGCCCTTAAAAATCCACGGCTTCGATTGGGTTTGAACCCGCCAACTTGGGTACAATAGTCCGGTACGCTAACCGTTACACCATCGCATTTCAAGCTTGAATAATGAAGGTGTATGAAACTTTTGAAAAAAAAAGAAAATGAACTTTTACAATTTTTTAAATTTCAAAGGCTGTAACGAACATTTTAAAAATGTATTAGGGGCTTAATGTAAAATACACCAAAACATTAAATGATTCATTTCAAATTTGCAGTACAGTTTAGATGTTAGTGTTGTTCATGGTTGGCCAAGAACAAGTTGGAGAGAGAGTGAGGAGAGAGTAGAGGAGAGAGAGGAGGAGAGAGAGGAGGAGAGAGAGGAGGAGAGAGAGGAGAGAGAGGAGGAGAGAGAGGAGTGAGAGTGGAGAGTGACACTGAAGGCTGTGGTGCTCTCATAGTCTTTCTTCTATGGGGTTTTCAGTCTTGCCAATGTAATTGCAACTGCATGGGACTGTTCCACCATGTGTAGGGGAGGGGGGAGCAGATCTTTGACTCTCGCCAAAGTGTTTGTGCACTTTCTCCCCTTAGGACAGTTTTGATCAGGAAAAGTCTCAAGATGTTGCCAGTGCTGCCTGTTACACCTTGTATATAGAGGTGAATGGATATTGTTTTGGTCTCTGTCATGGGTGTTCTCTTGTTGTTGGCAGGTCGTAAGTAAGTTTGAGGGGCCTGTTGGTGATTGATTTGTAACCATTGGTAACAAAGGTCGCTTTCAATACTTGGTGTTTAACATTGGCTACACTGACTTCGAAGAGGTGTGACCTGCATTCCCATTACTATCTGCAGAAACCTCCAACATCACATTACATAAGTTTCTCAATACAGGTTCACTGGTGATACTGAGAGAAATTGAAATTTTATAAGATCATAATGAATCCTCATGCCCATACTATTTCAATAGAAAAAGCTAGGTCATGGCATTACATTAACAGTTTATAATTGTCATGTGGAACACGGGGAAAGCCAAGTAATACACAGATATGCAGCTATTTATTCACAACTGTAAACCCTGTGAATAATATCTGCATTATGATCTTTGAGTTTTGGATTGCTTATGACCTTAGAATCACTAAAAGACATACAGTAATAACACCCACCTGGCACAACAATTGCATCTATATATACTTGCTTTATGCTAGTTGACACCATCTGAAAAGGAATACTTTCTGGGCCAAATGATGACACAGGATGTGCTTCACGTGCAGTTTTCACACGTATATTCACACGTGGATCAGCAATAACTTCACGGTCATGTGCAATAACCTCAGCAACTGTTTGGGCTGGATGGATTCTGTGATTGACAATAGCAGCAGCTGATGGAGGGACTACATTTTCCTGGAAAACCATAACAAATATAAATTAAATAAAAATACAAACAAGCAAGATTCATTAAAATATTCTTTCATATTTTAAACAGAAAAAGAAAATTTTATGAATTTTATTAATGAAAACAAACTTATACATGCCCATCAGCATAAATGATTAGCATGTAAGCATGTTATTCAAACTTTTGAAAGGAAAATTTATTTACAATAATTCAATTTCAAGGTGATATGAATTAGAAGAATCTAAATGTGCATTCAATTGTTTAATTAAGCATTCCTGCGAATGAAATGTGAGGCATCAGTAAAGCTCAGAGTTGGTTCCTTATTTTATTCATTGAAGGGCTTCCTCCTCACTTCTCCTTTAAGCTTCCCTATGATGGGCAGCCTCTCCACAAGCAGAGAGAACCACCACTTTGAAATACATACTGTATTGTAATAATTAGCTCAATGGAAAACATGAACAACTAGCACATCACAGAGTGTGACATGGAAATGCTATTGCCACTTTGCTACTATTTATGTAATAATTGACTGATTCTATCACGTGTGTAAGAAGAGGTTTTTGGGGAAAATGCTATACTCTTATATGCAGCTGTAAACAAAATGAAATACCTGTAGCAAATATAAGAGAAATAGCAAAGAAGTGGGTAACATTGAACTTATCTCAAAATTATCTGCACAAAAGAATATTAATTACCCATCTTTGTATATGTTATTATCCAGATCATAAGTCACATTCTATTTTAAAAATGAATCAGAGAAGGAAAAAAAGATGAAAAAAAGAAATACTAACTTTAGTTTTTTACGCTGATCATGATTTAAAAATGTGTTCCTAATATTGCCTAAGTAATGGTTATATTAATGCGCACATAGAGAGAACAAAAATTCTTCAAAGATGGTGCTTCAGGGAAAGAGAAAATAATGCTACATGAAAGGAACTTCAATTAATAATATCTACAGTTCAGATAACTGTTCGAACATCCACATCTTTCAGAATTCTGCTAATTCAGAAGAGGAATTGCTAATGTATGTAAATAGGTATCACAAGTAAGGGCAAGTCAGTGAACCCTTCTAAACATATGAGTATTTTAGCTGGTTGTACTTCCAGTTAACCTAGTACATATCTGATTCACCCTTATATAAGATCCAACCTTCCATTAGTCATATTTTATGCCATTTTCTTATCTATATAAATTCCATTGCACACATGAAGAGATGTAATTTAAAACATTCAAACACAATAGCCATTAAGATTCTGATTCATCACAACATCTATTGTAATTAAAGTGCAATCCATTCAAGCAAACAAAAGGAACAAAACAATGTAAGGGTCCCAATAGTTATAATGAGAACAGATAAAGACAAACAAGATACACTGAAGACAACTACAATAATCTTCAAGGAACTAACGGGACTTTTAAGACATATCACATATACGTCAGAAGTACATGATGGAAACAGACAAACTCATTTTCTAAAAATGAGTTTCAGTGCATTGCATGTGTTATAAATTCACACAGTATATTGGGTCCAGTCCCCTAGCACAATGCAGTGCTAGAGCCAAATAATTGCAGTAAATAGTCCAGGATATATTCATGGAAAAAGGTACTTCAAAAAGTGGGCAAACGCAATCGCATTCAGCAAATAACTTTCAGATCTTAATTTCTCAACTCTTTAATAATTCCTATTGACAGTAGAGAATAATCACAAATAAGAAGTTACTGATTATGTCACTGATACACATAGGATGGCCAGGAAGGTGACACACCTCTGTATTTAACAGGATAGTGTTGAGGAGATGGTAAAACAAAGAGAGAACATATAACACAATAACATGAAAGTGCAACGTACAACAACGGTGTATCCACAAGCCCTTGTTTCAGTGTTATAGGTATGGAAATTTGTATATTATGGTCAAATTGAAACATACCCTACTTACATGTGATACTGGGAGCCAGGGTGATGGCAATTCGTCACATAAATATTGGGGTGTACTAATTCCACCTCAAGAGATTTCTGGGAAATTGAATCAGAAGTCAGGGAAAAGAAAAGCAAGCACTTCTTACACACCTGGCAATGCTTGGTGTATGTGTCACATGGAAGTGCAAGATTAGATATGCCTGGGTTAATACAACCATTCACTGCAAAGAAAAAATTGAAATCTTAATGGACATAGAACAAAAGTGCCATTTTTGTGATTTAAAATTTGATTTTGAAATGCTCTACATACTGTTATATAAGATTAACGTTCTTCATTAACTTGCTCACTACTTTGCTTTATGTCCAATAAAACCATGCAAAACTACTAATCAGCCATTATTGCATTCATTACAAAATGCTACAAGAATGCTAAAGGTATTCCATATATACATATGGATGCACCTGCTCAGTATCTACACAGGCAACAGAGTTTAAAAAGCTTGTCACTTAAGAATAATGACTGAACCACTGACTGAGAGTAAGCTTTCAAAGGATACTAGAGGCACTGTTCAGGAATGGATGCACTTTGAAAGTTATTTTCATAAGCTTTAAGAAATTTGCTAACAAGGTCAAAAATTTGACATGATTTGCTAAAATAATACAGTGGATAGCAGATGCCACATTATCAATATTATCAATATTATCAATTCATTTTAGCAAATTTAAAAATTGTATTTATTTTAAGTAAGAAAGATCCAGTTTTTTCTTGCATTACCCTCTGCATATATAAGAAAAAATTTTCAATGCAGTGTTAACACTTTCGAAGAGAAATTAAAAATCACACGAACTAAAATACATTTTATTCTGATTCAATCAGTTTAAATTAAAAGGCCTAATTCTCCAAAAGTGTTTTAGTTTCTAATTGTGATTAAGACTAGGAAATTAAAAACTCGATGTCCACTTTTTTTATTCATTAAATTTTTTTAAAAATTTTATTTTAATTCATGAGAATTCAAAAGACCGCAAGTTAGGATAATCAAAGGAAGCACGGATAAGGAGCAGGTCTATTGATCTGAGTAAACCATTTCTGGCGACTATCAATTTTCTGTTGTTTATCAGTACGCTTTAAAAGAATTAGACATGAATTTACGCTCTTAGTTATCTAACAAATTTTTAACAATACTAGGAGAAAACATAAGTAAATGCAACTTTTCTAATACGCATTTCTCTAACAGAAATATACTCAATTAAATATTTGTTCCAACTGATGTACAGGAGAGCATTTTCAGAAAGAACAAAACATGTGAATTCTAATTCAAAACAAATAATTTTATCACAAAGCATTTTGATTCTATTCACATCTTCCCCCCTCCCATTAACTCTTGCAGTAATCTTATATTGTTTACATAACCATTGTATATAATAATTCCTCCACTGCTTGTGCTTCAGAATACACCTTGTATTAAATATCTCATATTGATGTTTAAAGAATCATATATAAATACATGCAAGTAACAGTCAAACTTACCAACGTAATGACATGAAATTATATTGCATCATGACTACTTCTCTGGGCGTTTCAGCTTGCTTAACAAGAAGCATAAATGCATGTTATTATTATTAGACAAATTATCTGAATTTTTTATTTTGACAACCAGATTATTAATGACCAACAAATTCCTGCGATGTATTTGGTACACCTTCTCAAGACGCATTTAATAGGAAATTACACACACAGTAATACCGGCAGCTACATGGAGACATCAGTTGTTGCGAGTCATTATAAAGGAATTTTGGAAGAAATGAAACTAACAAAACTATTTGAAGTAACCATATATGTAAGGGGAAATTAACCGAAACAAATGTTTATGTTTTATAGAAAGATGAATAATTTTTATAAATAATTGTTTTAATGAATAATTGTTATAAAATGAACAGTTTTAGAATTTTCCACAAAAATTCAGAATATGTTTTACAATATTTTTAGGCTCAAAACAATGGTTGCCTTAAAAAAATACTCATAATAAGATGTATGATGTACATTTATGTAGCATATGAGTTAATATCAGCACAGCTATCACTGTAATAAAAAAGCTTAACATATGGCTATAATGTGAATTTACAAATCTTCCTGAAGGTATACCTTTGCTTTCTACAGGCTTCTTCTTAATAATTACTCGATACAGAGACCATTTGACTTGCAAGAGATTGCAGTAATGAGATAAACTTTTGTTTTAAGTGAGTCAAGCATCTATTATGTCCACAAAACGTTTTAGATTGGGTAAAAATCTACTATGGTTTGAAATGAATATAAAACTATCTGTCATATGACACAGGTATTTCACAAAACCATTAAACCCAAACTGGTGTTCTATGAAAAAATTATTAGCATTGAAATCTTTTTACTTTTGGTTGTTCGTTGTTTTCTGACAATCTGTAGATAACCCTAGGTAAATAAACCAAAGAACAGGAAAAAAAGGAAAATTATATTTTTATAAAAAATCATTTATGTCACTTAAATATATATTTACTTGGTAATCAGTTCTCAAGTTTCAATGGAGAATGAGTTTTCCCAACTATTCTATTCCTCGAATTCGGTTTTTTTGTTCTTTAAGTGTACAATTTGGAATTTTTATAGAGCTTGACATCCAACTCATGATCCCTTCTTTTACATTAAGTAGAACTTCTGCAGAAATTGACAAACTGGTTCACTTATTATTAAAATTACATCCTGAGTTGTTTTGATATATAATTTTCTTACTCTTAAACAATATAAAATTACAAGAAAAAAGAAAGCCAACAAGACTCGATGCGAGCTTGAACTGAATGAAAAACTTATGATTACAAGAGGTTTAAAGGTTCAGTAGGAAACAGACTGCAAAATGGGTTTCGAAACTCATATCAATTTTTAACTTCTTCTTTATTTTCAAGTACGACTAACTGGATTTTGTTTCCTATTCTTGCCAAGAAATATTCTGCATTAGAATCATTGAGACTACTTTTATTGGCAGTGCACGTACTGGATTCTATTACTAAACTACATGTATATACAAAAGTACTCAATCACATAAGCCTGTATCTAGTGAAGAGCATGTATCTTGAAAACAGCAGCAATCATTAATTGACTTCACATTGTTAGCACCCCAGCCATATGCTATGTATAAGCAAATGAGCTTTAGTGATTAGTAAGATTATCCCTTCCTTGCCAATTCTGAGGTTGAATCTAATATAAGTTTTTGTATGTATTATAATACAATTCAAGAGAAAAGTATGTGCTCAGCTATACATAAGTACTATTCAAGTGAACAAAATTAATTACATTTTGAGATCACAGAAATAGACATTTTTCTTGTCTTGGTCAGTTCTAATGCTATGTAACATGCTCTTTCACTAATGAACTTGTTGTTGAAGTTTATGTCTCTCTCCTTCCTCTATGGTTAGAACTCAGCATTTTGAAAATAATTAAGGAATTATGTCCAATTAATAGCAGCAAAAATTTAATCTTCCAATAGAAGATGTCCAGAAAAAACCTAGCAGACTCTTCAGCACCATTTATCATTACAGTTAGCACATAAATTTAACATAATATTCACACATTCAGGATAAAGATACATTTGAATTGTCTTGACTTGTCTAGACTTCAAGAAGTTATTTTCTTCTATTTTTCATACATATTTTTAGGACCAAAAGAAGAATGACAAAAAGTCTTTACTAAATGCATGGTTTGTTTTTAACCTTCAAATTTCAAACAAGTGCAAATTTATTGCAATTCCTAATCATAATTCATGCAAATATGTATTTTCTCTAATGGATACACAAAAGTATTAAATGGAGTATCAATATGCTAAGGCATGCAGAGGAAATGACTGTCATTCATACAATCTACACATAAGAAATAGTAGAAAATCACAGGGAAAGTGACATCCAACCAGGATACGAACTTTGACTCTTTTGCTCTATGTCCCTTAAGTTTCGAATAACAGGGCATATGGAGCACACTGACACACAACTATTTTTGAAATTAATACAATTTCTTTACTATATTTTTTATCTTCCAAATGGTGATAAACACATGTTTGCAACAGGTGGGGAACAATGCTAGGTTGCTAAGAAAGTACTATCAGGAACTAAGAAAGCCATAAAACAGAAAACTTTTCACACAAATGGATAATTAAATGTTCAAATGAATGAATAAATAAATAATAAATTGTTATAGTTTGTCAATTCAATATATGGCGTCATGTTTGTAATTCATGAATAGAAAGGATATAGTCCACACACATACGCAAGAAAAAAAAATTAAAACAAGAGACTTCAATTTAAATAACTATTTTCCTTGTTTGTGAGAAAATGGTACACAACCTTTTAAAATTAAATGCTTGAAAACAGACAAAATTAAATGGCTTGAATTAGAGAAAATAAACTAATTTTCTGTCAAGTGATTTGTCCTTTAAAAATTGTTAAGGCGAATTGACAGAGGCATGGATAAAATAAAATAATTAAGTTCTTCTGAATTTTGAGGAAAGCTATTCACAAAGTTATGCAGTAGCACTATTTCAATGTTACAATGCAATATGATGAAATTCGCAATATGTGTGGAGTGTGAGTGTGTCTTGCACTAATTTAAGTAGGGGTACGATTACTTCCTGGCCATCACATACAGTACTACATTAGCAAACTTACATCTATAAACATCTTTGTAAATTACATAACACTCCACAGTAAAATATAATTAGTAAGTAGAAGATCTGATAATCATACATTACCTTAATGCCACCATGAAAAACTGTTATGGCTGTAGTTGTGCGAGCAAATGCATTAGATAATGGTTCACGAGCCATTTCCCGAGACATTAATCCAGAAAAGAGCCAAAGATTGTTGTAGAGAAGTTTGTATCCAAAAGAAACCTAAGAAAAAAATGTATCAAATATAGGAACCATCACATGACAGCTGAATAAAACACTCTTGATATTCCGCCCCACATATCACCAATAATTTAGTTCCCACACGTTTTCTCTAGTTTTAAAAATATGATTTTGTTTCTAAGCCAAGATTAATAATTATTAATTAACTTGCAATTTTCTCAAATAACTTTTTCTAAATCTTTATATTACCATAAAACAAAGATCTGCGAACAACTACAGTCACCTCATAAGCCACCAATGTTAACTTCAGTATTCATGAGAATAACTCATATGAATTACACTTTGTTACTATCCAATTAATGTGAAAGGAAAATCTGGAATCTGTGAAAAGAAATCCTATAATATAGGCATCAATTAACTCCTTTTTCACTGAATTCTTTGCTTGAATATGTTGAAAAGTTTTTGAATGCTACCTCAGTGCCTGTTTTTACTTTCTCAACTACTACTTGCTTTTGTAGTAAAGAGAAAGTAGATATTGTAATGTTGCAGAGGAAAGTAGCTATTTTTCAACAGAAAAACCTGTACTGTGCATGCCTGATACCAAAAAAGTGGATAATTTTTTTTCCTATTTGTAGTAAATTACTTCCTCTAATATGTAATGCAATCAGAATCCACATTTTGCAGGTGCCTTGATGCTGAAAAATTTCGTTTATGGCAAGAGTTTTACTGCCTGTCTGTGGACAACATTATCACCTAAACAGTTCACACAATTTTTTCCAAAATGACATTCTTCAATCAATCTGGTGAGTTTTTAATCCTAGCAAATTTGCAATGGATATTTTGAATTTTGGTGAGATTTTACACAAAGCCTTAACATCATTTCTACAATTTTATCAAAATAGGCTAAACATTTTTTATTCAACTTTTTTATAAGACAGAACAAAGGACACTAAAAAAAGCAAGGTCTCATTTTATTGAACTTTATGAATTTTCAAAAATTGCAAAAGTTCAATCTTTTTTCATCATCTTCCTAAAATGACAATATTGATGAGAGATTATTTCCTTAAAGTAAACTGCTCTTAGAAATGAAATCTTCAAATAAGATTCTGCACAATTTTTACAAAATATGAATAGTTTTCAAGTAATTTTGAGTAAAATCATGACAATGTGGAGAAAAAAGAAAATTAAAATTTTCACAAAAGAGATACAAATTTTTTCATTGGATTCTTTGCTTAAATAGAGCAATGGTCATTGAATAGAACAGTATAGGTTCAATTTCCATTTAAACTTCTGAAATTCAGAAAACAGAAACTTTCAATTTCTCTCACTTTTTTTTTTTTTTGAATTGCTTTAAATTGCATCTGGTTGGCTCACTTAACTAGTGTTGGTGCTGTAACGGAAAAGAGAATTAACTTCTGAGAGAATGTGCTCAAGCTCAAATTTTCGCTCAGGGATATATTTATATATTCAACTAGTATTATAATATTTCTTAATTGTTACTAATAACATGAGAAAGTATGCTGTTAGTAAGTATGCAACACTAGTTTTAACCAATGGTATATTTCAATAAATTGTTTTACATTGTGAACTAACATCATTAATAAAGATCAAATAGCAAGTACCTACGAGGGTGGTCCCAGAGGTACCCGACCCAACAAAGAAAAAACAAAAATTTTGGAAAAATATTTCAAATTTTTCAACATAATCTCCTTTGAGCTCTATACACTTTTCCCAGCGATGTTCAATAAGTTCGTTACCCTTTTTATAATAAGAACTGTCTTGCTCCTCAAAATAGCCATTAACTACCAATATCACTTCTTCATTGGGAAAATCTTTGACCACTGAGCCATTGTTTCAAGTTTGGAAACAGAAAATAATCAGAGGGGGCTAAATCTGGCGAATAGGGTGCATGAGGTAGCAATTCAAATTTTAATTCATTAATTTTGGCCATTGCAATAATGGATTTGTGAGCTGGTGCATTGTCCTGATGAAACAACCCTTCTTCTTAGCCAAGTGTGGCCGGTTTTGCTCGACTTTTTCACACAAAGGGTGCAATAAGTTCGCATAATACTCATCGTTGATAGTTTTTCCTTTTTCAAGATAGTCAATGAAAATTATCCCCCGCGCATCTCAAAAAACCGATGCCATGACCTTGCCTGCAGATGGAACGGTCTTCGCCTTCTTTGGTGTGCGTTCTCCCTTTTCAGACCATTGTTTTGATTGTTGTTTTCTCTCTGGGGTGAAGTGGTGGACCCATGTTTCATCCATGGTTATGAAACGGCGTTAAAGTTCTACTTTGTTGCAGTGAAACTTCGCTAAACACTCAATTGAAACATCTTCACAACTGTTTTTGCTCGAGTGTGAGCAAACGCGGCACCCATCTTGCACACAGCTTTCTCATTTCTAAATTTTCAAATAATATGTGATGTACCGCACTTTTTGAAATGCCTACTAAGTCTGCTAGCTCGCGCACTTTCAGTCGACGATCACCCAGTACCGCTTTGTGGATTTTCTTTACCATTTCTGGAGTTGTCACCTCATTTGGTCGACCACTGCGATGCTCGTCTTGGCAGCTTGTACGGCCTCGTTTAAACTCTGCTACCCAATATTTTACTGTAGTAAACGAAGGCGCAGACTCACCCTGAGTAGAATCTAGTTCAGTTTTTATACTGGTTGGGCTGAGGCCTTTCCAATGAAAGTATTGGATCAAATAACGATGACCAATTTTCTCCATTTTTATAAATTCACTCACAACGTTCACTATTGATTGTTGCCAAACAAATACTAAACAACGTAGCGTCTTCAAACTTAAAACACATGCTTCATAGATTGTCTACTTTCCAATACAGTGATATTTTTCGAAACACTACCACGATCTCTAGGTCAGGCCGGGTACGTCTGGGACCACTTCCGTAATGTGTGTTCTGAGCTTTCTTTTGGGGGGAAATAATAATAATAATAATAATAATAATAATAATAACAACAATAACATAATAACGATAATAATGATAATAGTCTGTAACAATTATTGAAATACATTTCCTTGCTAAAAGAAAATAACATAACATCAAGTGAAGACAATACATCTTTTTCTAATCAGAATTGACAATAAATAGTACTTACATGTGGGGCCAAATATTTAAAAGTAGCAGCTTCAGGCCCTTCTCCTAAGAGAGATGGATGTGGATTTGCTTCAAGACGAGCCAATGCAGCAGCCAAAATTCCTATTGCTGATTCTGATGGTGGGAAGCTTGCATGACCAGGACTTCCCATTACACTTAATTCCAAATTTGTTGTGCCTTTCTCCGAAACACCCACACTAGAATTTTTATTATAGTTTGGGAAATTTATTGAACTGGCATGAAAGATATGAAACAGAATGTGATCGCATAGAAAGTGAACTTACATTGCTATTGGTTTGTCTGTACCAGGAACCAAATCTTTTGAAATTGGAAATCCTTCATCTATAACAAAATCAAGTTTGTCTACTCCACGAGCTCTCAATGCTTTTGCAATTTCTTGAGCACCTCTCTTTCCTGATATCTATAACATTAAGAATAAAAGTAATAACCTTAACATCAACAATATCAATTAAAGTGTGCAATAATAAATACAATATGGAAATGAAAAATGTATGTAAAGTTCTTAGTAGTAAATAAAAACTAGAAAGGCTTTGGAAAAACAATACCCACAATTCTGATGATCTTGTTAGAATAAAATCTTTCGGAAAATAATTTTTAACAACTAATGATTAAACATATTTTAGGTTTCATTAAACAAATTAAACTGGTTTTATGTAAATGTATATAATAATAATAATTAGCCTTCAAATTAATGAGCTTTTCTCCATCTTGAAGAGACCTTTGCCCTGTATGGAATTTCACTGGCTTTATTATATTATATTATACACAATAATAAATACCTATCACTTCCATTGTTGTTTTTTATAACCATAAGATTTCAATAATTACTTCCGATGATAATTTTCATTAAAAAAAATAATTCCTTTTTGTGCAACAATTTCCATGGGAGCACAGTACTGTTCAAACCAGAAGAAACTGCTCTAGGATAGCAATAATAAATAAATTCAATTCTGATTAACACTTAGTTACTCGCACTGGCGTTCTTTGTCACTGGAACTGTTATCACCATAACTGTCAGATAACATCAGCGTGCATTCTGGCATTTGACCTAACCTTGCAGAAGGCATTCAGCTACATCCTCCTTGATACTCAGTTGTGCAAGATTTATTGTACTAGCTCGACGATTTTATTTCCATTGGACAGTGTTTGTTGGCGTACTATCTACCAACCGGGTACCAATGCGAGTTCTTTCAATTATAGTAAGATATTTTTTAATTATTGATGTAATTAAACTAATTTATTATGTTTTACATTAGGAACACTACAGAGATGAATAATTTATCGCAAAAACAGATATGTGAATTATTACACGAGGAAGATCAATTTTGCAATGCTGCAGATGATGCCGAGGAAGAAATTATAGTAGCCGCGAATGGACATGACACATGTTCGAAGCGTGATTATGCTAGTGATTATTCAAGCAGTGATATAGAGTGTAGAGATGTTTTAATTGGCAAAGACAAGACATACTGGAATAAAACACCTCTTGTGACACTCAAATTTAAAAAAACTGGAAGTCTTGTTGATCAAGAATGACCACCAACAAAGTAACGAAATCACAGTCACATTTGTGGATGAGCAAAAAATCACACAACTATGAATATTACTACACCTACTACTAACTAGTACAACAAATTTGCGCGCAAGGAACATATCCTTAAAGTCTTCAAATGCAAAAATTGTTCTGAAGACTAATATGCTTATTTATTATTATTACTATTGTTATTACTATTGTTATTACTATTGTTATTACTATTATTATTACTATTATTATTATTATTATTATTACTATTATTATTTAATTAAAATAGTAATATGTGTACATTTAAAATAAAACTAAACAAAATTTATATTTAAAGTTATTCAGGTCTTGAAGAATTAATTTTTCTAACAAAATAAGCTTGACGTACAAAGTACGCCATGCAAGTACATGTGTGACGATATATAATGCAAGTAACTAAGGGTTAATTAAACGTAAAGTTTAAACAGACTTAAAATGAGCAGACATGAGAACATAGTGACTCATACGCATCCCTTTATCATTTATAAGAAAGATTTCTGGGGAACAAGTGAAATTCAAGGATACAAATGAAAACTTACTTCTTCATCATGACCAAATGCTAGGAAAAATGATCTTTGTGGTCTTATGCCTTTTTCAAGCATGAATTCGAGAGCTTCCATTACGCCCTGCAACAAAAAATTGTCTTTAGGTAGGAGAAAACATTTTAAAACTATATCTAAATAGTGATTCATTTGAAGAACTGAATTTAATGCTGTAACAATTGCATACAACAGTTTCATTTACCATGACTCCTGTTTTATCATCAATTGCACCCCTTCCATATACAAAAGTATTATTGACAATTTTTCCACTGAAAGGATGCACTTCCCAGGCCTTTGGATCAACAGGAACAACATCAAGATGTGATGAGAACAAGTATGGTAGTTTTCCTTTGGTGGTTCCATGTACTGTGTAAAGCAGACTATACTCGTTTATAATGTCTTTTGTTATAAAAGATGAAGTGTGAATAAGGGGATAATCTGCGAAGGTAAACCATTCATTGCAAATTGCTGTACATGAAAAATTATAGTAATTAACATAAGAATAAAATTGTTTCACTTTATCATATTATTAAAAAAGCATAAACTGTTTCAAAAATATTTTATTAACAACAAACTATATAAATTATTTTCAATAGGTTATGTAATACCTAACAAGATTTTCAAATAATTATTAATAAGAAAGACAATTTTCACATGCCATTAACACAACTTTTTATTGCCCATAATTTTCTTCAGAGTCCAACCACATTTTCCTCATTCTTACTTTTTGTTTTGGTAACTCAAAAATTCTTCAATCAAATATTTTTTTAATCATAAATTAAGTTGCAAATATTTTGATTGTTTGTTCACTAAAATTTTTAATAAGTTTCAGTAATGGAATATTACCCAAGCATTGTAGTACACTAATGAATTATCCTATTACAATCTTTCATAATTTCCTAATAAATCTTTCTAGAATTCTATTGTATTATGATTTCAATACAATCTTTTACTCTTCAAAAATTCGTTTTAATTTTGAACAAAAGATAAAACTATAGAAAAACTATTTACATTTCTAAAATTGGTGTAACGAAATCCATTTGAACATCCCATTGAACAAAATTTAATATGAAGGAGTAATAATTATAATTTGTTTCTGGCAACATTATAAGACATTGATATAATAATAGTGATAATTATTATGACTAATGGTGAGCATAGAAAAACGTACGCTTTGCTAAATACTGATGGTACTGCAAAAATGCCTGTTTTTCCTGTTTGTCAGGTCCATATGAAACGGAGGGTATCTTCAGTGCTCCTCCTAGACGTTCAGCTCTCTCGATCATTCTACTTCTGTCCACCATATCAAATGTTTCATCTTTTGTGAACTGTAGAAAGAGGTCATTTTGCTTTTGAGCAGCCAGAGCTCTGAAAAAGGCTACAAAACCAAGGAATGCTGCAGCCACCAGAGGGAAACCTATGACAGCCAGGAATAAACTTTGCCAGCATCTATATCTCCAGCAGCTTTTTCTTCTACTCGATAATCCCATGTTCACCTATATTAAAAGAAACAAAACTTTCCCATAAAAACAGCACACTGTTGAAAAATTATTAAAATTTAATTGTTTTAAATGAGGTGGCATTTAAAAAAGTACTATTTTGTTGATTGATATTCACAGCAACAAACGATCATGAAATAATAAAATAATTTAATACTATTCATACCATTAATAAAGGATTTCTCTTGCAGAAAAATAAATTTGAGTATTTTCTTCACACAAGTAGTACAACTGCTGATGAGCAAGGAATTTAGGCATAAGTCACACAGAAGAAAGATAGAAAGACCACTATATGCATCTTGCAGTGATGTCCTTATCATCTGAAGACTGGAGGGCGCAACTGCAAAAGATAATTTATATAAATAAATTTATGATCACAAAATTGTTTTTATTTTCAATGTTTCTAAAACATCATTGTTTTCCTAGCATTTATTCATTGAACCACCTTCAGAAAATTCTGCAAGATGTAGGGTAAATTCATCTTAAACTTGTCTGAGAGAAGAGTGAGGAAAATCGTGTGGTGAGCAGTTACTCAACAACTAGTTTATAGACCACAGGAAAATTAACAAGCTGAGAGACATAATAGCAACAGAAATCACACTGGTGACTGACAAATTCAACACATTACCAATATCGGACCAACATTACGCAATAGAGAAATAATTTAAAGAATGTTACATATTCGAGTTGTATGATTATGAAAGCCTGACAGGTTCTCATAATCTTGGAATACATCCACCTTTAAGGGACCAGGCCACATGGAAATAATCCTGGATTACACCATTTGAAGGCCTATTGATAGACTGAAGAGAGATTAAAGAGCAAGAAATCTGAAGGACCAGATGACATTCCAGCAGAAGTTATAAAATCAGGACATTCCTATCTTCTTGAAGTATCTTAAACAATCATGTGGGGAAATGTGAATGTGATGTAAATAGTTGTGTGGGAAATTTTAACCTAAATAATTGTGCAGAGTATCTGCAACACCCCATACAAAATTTTAATTTTACCCCATGCAAAAGAAAAAATAACGGTTTATCTGGAAAGAAGAATTACTATGGCAATTTGATGCCTAATTTTACGTAATCTATTTTATTTAGTTCCAAATAGTATACTTTTATAAAATGAGTGTTGACACAAAAATTGTATTGTTAAAGGGAACACTAACATCAACGTGTTTTTTTTACTTAACTTCAAAAATTATCTTAAATTACTTACAAAAGACGTATAACACATTATAATGGAGAATAGGTCGGTCGGTCGGTCGGTCGGTCGGTCGGTCGGTCGGTCGGTCGGTCGGTCGGTCGGTCGGTCGGTAGTTAGTTCGGTCGGTCGGTCGGTAGTTCGGTCGGTCGGTCGGTAGTTCGGTCGGTCGGTCGGTAGTTCGGTTGGTCGGTCGGTAGTTCGGTCGGTCAGGTAGGTAGGTCTGTCTGTCTGACTGACTGTGTCTGTCGATCGGTCGCTTTTACCGCATCGGCCAGGGGCTCGGCATCTACAGTAATCGGGGTTCCCAGACGTTCACTCGACTAGGAATCCGCGTAATCTCGAATTGTTTAACTTCCGTGAATTCACGGAGCGTAATTAAGCAATTCGGCTAGCGATGCCAACGAGCTCTCCTACAAAGGCGATGAAAGATCCTGGTCTTCATTAACAAGAGCAACTATCGTTTCTCAACGCTCTTACATCAGGTGTTGCAACTTACTAGATAAATTAGAGAATTTGCATCTGCTGTCGACTACTCGTTTTAGCGGAGATCTCTCAGTCTGGCAATACTATTTCAAGTTGAGGACGACAGTGGCCTCCTAACAGCAGTAGTGTAAGCCGTTGGAGCTACCATGAAAAAATAAATACTCCCGAAAACCAGTTACACTGGACACTAGGAACGGCATTAATTCCTCAATACAGAAACGCAAAATCTTTCTGTCTGATGCAGTCCCGCTCTGGATTCATACACGTAAATATATGGGAAAAGAGAAAATGAGTTTAATTCGATGGAAGCTGCCTAGAATGCGCTTTGCTTGCTGCACAGAATCGAAAAGATCTCCAGAAGAAAAGGGAGCATTAACAAAATACATCCAATTTATTTAAACTTTACTTAACAGCTCAGAGAGTACCAGGTTAGCCACTTACGTAGTATACTATGAACCAAGAAATAGAAGGAAAACCCGTATGTCAATAGACGACATACACCCCCTCGGTAGATAAAACGAAGAAATATCCTTCAGATCAGGGGCGGATCCAGACACAAATGTTGGGAAGAGTAATTCAACATGTTTTGATTAAATGTGTCATATTACAGATTTTTTTCACCGAGCGAAGTGGTTCAGTGCGTAGCGCGCTGACTTCGCAATCGGGAGGTCCGTGTTCGATTCCCGGGTCGGCCATCCTGACCGGGATTTTCGTGGTTTCCCTCAGTCATAAGGCGAATGCTGGGATGGTTCAAAAAGTCCACTATCACCTTTCCCCAATATCCTATCACCTAATAATAATAATAATAATAATAATAATAATAATAATAATAATAATAATAATAATAATAATTCACAATGGGGACAAATTTGCTCGCGTCCGTGGTCTACCACACGTGTCCCCTGAGTAACGCTAAATGAGCAACTGATTCGCCACCTACGCGCTTGACCATTGTCGGCTACAAGCTGAAGGGAAAGTTAGGATGTCGGCGCGTCACCAAATGCCAACAGTGAGCGTTGGCTAACAAGAACAGATTTAGTTACATGTCGCTTTACAGATTTAGTTAAATGTCGCAGACTACACTCAGCTCATGTTGCGATGAGCTTCCTCTTACTGATTATCCGATAATAGTTTGCTTGAAAGTTTCGTGACAAGTTAAAACTAATAGTACAAATACGGAAACAAATTAGCGGGGGGCGTGGGCCCTCATTTCCCACCCCGTGGGTCCGCGCCTGTTCAGGTAAAAGATAAGACATTTGGAAATAATGCGACTGTGGACCAGCTGGATCTCGACTTGTGACTAGTAGCCTTCGAGTTTCTGAAAGCATTAATCGTTGTTTCAGTGTCCACTTACTGGTCTTCTAGACGACAATGTCTACTACCTATGACTTCAGATCTGGTATATAGGTATAATGTATGACAAGTACGGTTCTCTTGGTTTCTTCAAAGTGCCTTCTTTCACTTTCTTCAAGCTCTTATCTTCGGAGGTTGATCTTTTTCTCCAAACAATGTTTCACGGTGAATGCGGGTTGATGGTCATGTCGAGTTCCTCAGCGATTACGTAGACTTTGCAAGACTTTGCGTAGACTTTGTTCCTTCCAAATCCGCTGTTTAGATGGTGATAGCACTGTTGGCTATAGTTGACTATAGTTGAAAGATTTCTTTCTTTCTTTCTTTCTTTGGGCGGGGCACTCTGTCGAGCGCTGGCATTCTAATTCCGGGATGAGATTGCTTCCCCCATTATTTCTTCTCCGGTCGCTACTCTTCATTCGGTGATTTTCTACGATCGGATGTTTTCGTGGCCTTTTCCCCCTTCAGTTTGTTGCGTCTATACAGTCTACGCGTAAGCTCTACCTAGCTCGTAAGAGCGTTGACCGCACTATAATCCTCCGTTAATTACTTCGTACGAGTAATCCTCCTTTTTATTACATAGCCAGCACCCTCTAGGGGCCGCTGGGTAGTCAAGTCACGTCAGGGGAAACACCGATAGGTAGCGTCTTTGCGCTCGCGTCTCGCACGCGCCTGCGTCATCTACCTATCGGTCAGAACTGTGAAGGAATACGGATACGGGTAGAGTTTTAGGACGCGTCACAAGGGTTGGACTAGCTCCTGTGAAGCATGCTAACTCGTTTTGTCGTAACAAATTTCACATGAGGTTATACGGGGACTGAGTATCGAACCGGGATATTCAGTGGTGAAAGGCAAGCGACTTCGCCACTGAGCCATGAGCGCGTATGAAATCCGCTGAATTCCGAGGTCTCAAGTAGTCTTCACATGATTTCGATTCTTAGAAACAGTTAACCACACCATTCATAATAAGTAAATTGCTGATTAGCATCCCTCAAGCAGAGTGCCTGCCTTAGCAAATCTACCTCATAAGCAGTCATGGAGTGTTTAGAACTAAACAAAATAAATAGGGGCTCAATGAATAGCTTTGAAATTTCCACAATGGATGTGGATATTAAATGTAAAATTTTTGTAATAAATATGCATTTGCCAGTTCTTTCATTAGGACTACTTGTATAATTTCATTTTTATTTTTACCATCATCAATACTAAATTACACATTAAAACACTTTAGCTGCGAACATGGCCTTTATGACGAACCAGCCCGTTGCGAAGTTAGTGAGCGTGGAGTTAGTGAGTATGGTGCGATGAACTCCCACTTCAAAATTGTGTACATTATATATCCTGCAGTTTTGTTTTCATTTCTCCAGATGTTAGAATTTAATTTAAACACAATAAAAAATTGTTCGCATGGGTGCCATTTTGCAATGGATTTATTATTCTGTTGAATGTCACTATATACTATATAACATTTTTAATTGGCTTCACACTAAGACTAAGTTAAAGGCTACTAACCTGTATTCTGAAATTAATTGTTTATTATTTCAGTAATTTGTAGTATAGTTTTTTGTGTTCTTTGGTTTGACGATTCTGTAATATCTTCATGGACAACTAATTGTGTTGTACATCGAAAAAACAATTTTGATTTATTCTCCATTACAATTGGGTTGGATCACAACCTGAAACAAACATGTCCTATGAGAAAAAAAACAAACATAATGTTTATTGCCATAGACTAATTATTTTCCTCTCAAATATCCTTGATTTGATGAACTATTACAGTCCAATAAATCACAAATATATTTCTACTTACCAAGAACATAAGATAGAAGAATAATTATGGAAACGGCAGAGGAAGAAATAAGAAAGAAACGAAAAAGGAAGAAAGGGAAAAAAGAAAGAAAAAGAAGAAAAATACAAAGGTAAAAAAACATGAAATATACATAAACTATTATTACATCATACATGTAAATAGTCCTAGGGTGGCTCATGGGCAGCGCTCTTGCTTCCAGTGTTGCAATCCCGGATTAGATTCCCAGTTGGGATAAAAAGAGTTGTAGTTTTCCTTTAAAATCGTCTGTTCTATAGCCGTGTGACAAAGAAAACCTCAGGCAGGCCGAGTTTGCTAGTAACGGTGAAGAGAAGACTGTCATGTTCGCCACATTCTCTTACCCCCCCCCCGTGGGAATTACACTAGGACCAGGCATGGGGGACACAGCTAGCAAAGTTGGACAATCGACCCAAAATGCCAAACATGCATGTTAACTGATACTGCAAAAGTAACTTCAAGGCAGAATTCCTTTGAAACAGCCAAGTTCGAACCCTTTTTCACTGTGTGTGTGTGTGTGTGTGCGTGCATTTCTGTCAAATCATAATAAAATAAAGTTTTGTACCAACAAAACACCTTGGACATCTAAAAGTGTCATAATCAACTACCATGCTGCATTAAATGGCATTCTTCATTTTTACGTCGCGAACGCGAATCCAGTTGATAAAGTTAAAACTGCATTAGGCGTACACATACCAACACTGCCTACATTCGTTCAAGTTTATATCTCAACCAATTACAACACAGACGGCATAAGAATCATCTGGTTTATCCCATTTTGAAAGAAGTCTGGAACCGGGGCTTAGTAGTTGTATCCCCTTTGCACTTCAACAAAATTATCGCCAATGAGATATTATTTTGGGCTTATGCAGTAGACAAGATAGATGGGATTGATTAATTAATTTTATTTTTACAGATCGCCTAAGAATAAATTATATGAATTTCGATAGCTCGCAGGAAGTGTCGAATAACATTTTGTCAAAGAAAATGTAGTGAGATATTATATAAAAGAAGATACACGTATTTACACGTTTTATACACTAACAAATTAAGAGATCACGAACAGAATGTAAGGGCCTTATCCAAAACCGTCCCAATTTATACAGGCATACCACGAGGGTCGGGAACAGGGACCTAATACGGGGAATCCCGAGACTCAAGCGTCTCTTTCCTCTCCGAAGCATCGGATTTCAAGGGAACATTGTATTGATTCAATATTACGAAAGAACATAGCACGTTATATGGATTAATAACAGAGAATGACAGGAAACCAGAACGAGGCCGTTTGTCTCGCGAAATCATTCAAATCTAAACAAGTCTACTAAATCTACGTGATTTTATTTTAAGATTTTTAACCATGCAAATTTAAATTAAATTTAAACTAACTTAAAATACATTTCAAACACTCAATATTTCGAAAGCTTTGAAGTCTCGTTTTTGGGTTAAATCTCCCAATGGAGGAGGATTCTTGCACTTTCAATAGGGCACTGTTGACGTTACACCTAATTGGTGCTTCTTTTGAAAGGAATAACAGTTTCGTTAAAAATAATTAAAATCAAATTAATACATGAAAATCCTCATTCACTCTGTGAAAAGATCTAAAACGATGCAAAGTCAGTTCTGCGATAGTCATAAATACGGCCCGGATTTATCAAAACGAAAAATAATTAAAACAATCGCTAAAAATAAGGAAATGATTTTATTAAGTAAGAAATAATATCAACATTTTAAGTATAGAAAATTACGAGAAAACACGTTTCAAAACAATCAAACCAATAACTCTTAAAATTTATTTCTACAACGCATATACGAAGTTATTTAATGTTCTCAAACGTACAATTTCGCAGATTGTCACTTAAAACTTTTTTTAACTACGAAAACATCCCTCCGCGTGACGTGATAGGAACTTAAATGATGCGATGCCAGAAGGGCTAAGATTTACTATCCGACAACATTTTTGACGTTGCCACTGACGTGAGACCAACAGTAAAAAAAAGAATCGTGAGCTATATGTGACTGAAATGTGAACAGATAAATGATTTAAATGATTGTTTTGTTGGCGTGAATAAAGAGGAGAAAGGAGAGGAAATTCATTGCAAATGCTCCGCCGCACGGCGTCCGCTTTTTTGCCACGATCCAATGCAATCCCTGATTCACTGATGAGTTCCCAGCAGTACAGAAAATAGAAAATAATAGGGCCCTAGTCATAACCAATATTGCTCTACTAGGAGCAGTGTTGTGGACACTGTATAAATAACCGATTGACGTCTTTACCTACGTCATGGCCAATACAATAGAATAGAAGAGAATGCAATGGAAAATGATAATGGTGGTCGATCCGCTCGTAGTCTATCGTGTTCGTATCATTGCCATGGAGACAGGACGTTGCCAATCGTCGTCGACTATTGATCAGGGCCGTCACGTAAGTCCCCTTTCCACGACTACGGCCACGAACTATGAGGGGGACGTGATTACAATACGTCGCATCGTTACAACTTTTCTAGGAAGCCGAACTTCACAAGAAGCGCCTCTTTGACACTTATTTCCAATAAGATGTTGTGTCCAGCAACAAAACATTAGAAATACATAACAAAATGAGCGTTATAAAATTAATATAATTTATTATATATACAATATAAATAATATCATTCCGACCCATACGATTATAAATACATTCGTCTGAAGAGAAGTATAGAGTATTTTTCGAAACAGGAGACTTAAACAACTCCATATATCTCAATTATATGTCGCAAGTTATTGCGACAAGAGAGCGGCCAAGTTCAGATCACATGCCGCGACAATATGGCGATTTGCATTTCACCCCTGCGTGAAGTAAGTGTGTTTTCTTTGAGATCTGGAGAGAAGAAAAGTTAACTCTACATTTCAAAATGCATTATGGCATATAGAAATAAGAGGCAAATTAACTAAACATATCCACAAAATAATATTTAACACATCAAAAACAGATTAAATTTGTCTAATTGAATTTAGCACTAAATGTATTCAAAATATGGATAATGGCAAAGAAGGAAAAGAAACAATACATTTCAAAACATTACTAACAAAATTGAATGTAGAACACCGCTTTCTAAATTTTTTAGTTACATAACTTTTAGAGTGTTTGAGAAGATAGTACAAATTTGGTAAAGACCTCACTGTTTGAATACAAAGAAACTAATTCCTACAAATGAGCACATACATTTATTAGTTTCAAATATTTGTATTTTGTTTGTAAAATGCATTGAACAGTCACTTAGCAAAATCAAGGTGCATTTCATTCAAACTAAATGCAGTCAAATGAAGTAATGGAATAATAATTAATCATATTCGTGAAAATTGCTACATTTCGGAAAGTCAATGCCACTGTTTTAGTTTCCCAATTAGCATAATGCTATTTCATACCTGCCCCAAAACATTTTTCTAAATGGTGATCTTTTCAATAAAATGTATGAATTTTATATATAACATTCAGTTATTATAAATACGATAACGTTATTAGACATATACAACTGGACGTGCAACAGAATTGCACTATCATTTGAATAGTATAGTTCAGCAACTGTACAACTTAAGTTATAACAGAACTGAGTTAAATAAGTCACCACTTTGAATTCCAACGAGATATTCAAATGCAAGCCAACACGACTTTAGATATGAGCGAATTTTTCAACATTTTGTTGCCAATAAGCATTTCTTTAATATAATCCTTAGTACTTTGTCTTTTCGGCCATGCCTGGGAAGAATTGCTTTTGTGAATGGCCGATAGTGATAATGGGAGTTAAGTATGGAAGGAGAGGCTGGGTCAACGGGAGAACTCCGAGAAAACCAGCCGCGAACTCGCTTTGCCCACCCCACGTTAAATGGATTGGCCCGCATTTTAAACGTCGGTAATCAGAAGTCGAATGTTAGTGATCTGACCACTACACCACAGGCCGCACCCAAAACATCGTTTCGTGACGCCATGATTGCCCGAACTCTACTGAAGGCGACCCTCCAATTTCAAATTGCAAATCTAATTGCACGGTTATTGTTGAAGGCACATGACCTCTGGGAAATTGAGGCAAGTTCAAAAGCACATATGATTGTAGGTCTAACTATACAGATGCAATAAACAAACCACTAGACTTGCGGTACGGTATGCAGATTTCCATAGAAACATTAATACTATTATATAACTCGAATATTATAAAAATCTGAACTCGGGATTTGTTTTTCTTTTTTTTCCAGCCTCACTCGACTTGTAAGTCATGATCAGAGGCATATTGAATGGCAATGGGGAACTCTGAAGAAGCAGACACTTATGTGAAAAACATTCCATTGCTACTTTTATAGGTGTTACCTGTATATGCAGATTGACATTGTATATTTCAAACCATAATAATATATTACGAATAATTAACTATTTGTGAAGAAACGAATTAGGGCAATAATTTAAATAACATCTAACATTTTATTTGGAGAACAGGAAGGGGTACGGAAATCAGACACTGGAGGGGTTATATGTTCTATGTTTATTTTGATACTAATTCCGTAGTAAAATTACGAGATGTCATTTTTAAAAACTTAGCCGAGGTCGTCATCTTTTGAAATATTGACACAATTTTCAGCAGATGGAGCTGCCGCAAAGTGAGTCACCTGCATCAAGGTTCTGATAGGATCATCACGCTAACTCCGCCACAACTCCGGCGTACAAGCAAAACAGGTGAAGTCCTTCCACTATCTACTGTAGCCTGAAAATCGATGTCACAGTCACGCAACGATACGTGCAGGACAAATTCATGGTATGGCCATGTGAATTAGTGGCGTCTTCGCAATATTACTACGAATTATGTATTTATCTCTAGTTCCAAG